CTGAAATATTAGCCTTGGGAGGCGAAGATTGGGAGGATCATGGTTCAAGAACAACTCAGGCAAAAACTTTGAGATCCAATCTCAACCCATGAAAACTGGGTATGGTGTTGTGCAGGAGGTACACTACACATAGGAGGATAGCCTCTAGGTGGTCTAAGGCATAAAAGTGAGACCCTATTAAAAAATAAGTAAAGCAAAAAGGGCTGGGGCATGGCCTGAGTAGTAGAGCACCTGCCTAGCAAGTACAAGGCCCTGAGTTCAAACCCCAGTACTGCAAAAAAAAAAAAAAAGAGAGATCCAAGTTTCCCTCCTAGCTATACTTCAGTGCAATCCCCAAACACCTTCTCAACTTAAATCACTGTAAATATTTGATTCCTGTCTTTTCCACACAGCCACTTCCGATGGGCTTACTATTCTTTTACGATCCAGATAACTTCAGAGACAACATACCCTTCACAACCTGTTACACACAAATGGAAAACAGATTGCACATTTCTTCACGCCATGGAACCTGTGAGGAGTAGATACTATTCTCAACTACTGTGGGCATCAGGGCCTCAGGGGTGAGAATGAAGGGTGACTAATACATAAATTAGTAAATGTAAGGTTTCACCAAGATGAAAGGAGCCCTGGAGATGAGGGTGGTGATGGGTGTAAAACATTAAGAAAGAATTTAACCAAAGTGCACATTTTTAAAAATGGTTAACATGATAAATTTTATATTATGTGTATTTTTGCCATCAATTTAGGTTTAATATATTTTAAAAATTCAGCAAGATTCTTCACTGTAAAACTTATGAGAAAATCTCCAAGGGGGGAAGGAGACCAGAGTGTTCAAAACTGCTCTACTTCAACTGGCACTTCAAAAGACTGAATACACGAATGTGTATTAAGGCACAAGGCTGGATGCTACAGAAAACACAAAAATGATCAAAATACAATCACTGTGTACTTTATGCTTGCTATAAGGCATTCAACTACCTCAGGAAGCAGTGGAGGACAAATAGGTCACGAAATTCAAGTTTCTTTACTGATTTTTAAATTGTGGGGCATGATATATTGATGTGAAAACAATTTTTGTCTTATAAGCCATCAGTTTTATAGCATAGTATGGCATTTTTATTAAACTGAAATAAGTGCAGCATAGTAGTACATGCCTGCAATCCCAGCATTTAGGAGGCTGAGGCAGGATTACGAGTTCAAACCAGCCTGGGTACATAGTCAGTTTTAGGCCAGTTACATAGAGAGACCCAGTGTCAAAAGAGAAAAAGGTTGAAGTAACTGTAATTATAAAATGGTATGCTTAGACCTATTGTGCTGGAGTATGTCAAAATGACTTTCAAGTACAAGTGTAACTGACAGAATGACTTGATCATTACTGAATGTTTATGTGCCTTGTGTGTATTATTTTTATTATACATAACAGAATTGTTATATTTCTAAAAACATGCCCTTTTTGTTTAATGCTAATCCCATGGTATTAATGCTGGGAGGGTCTTTTAACAGTCATCTATAATAAGAACCATTATTTTTCCTTTTCGTAGGGTAAAGGCACAGATTAAAATTATCTTCTTTCCTAGCCAACAGCCATGGCACAAAGTCAAAACTGTTTCCTCCATATTTTCTTAACAGTGTGTTGAAAAGATAATCCATATATTTGGAACCATCATGCACTCTGTAACAATGATTTATCCAATAATATACCGCATATAGAAGGCAGTCCCATATTAATGGAGCTGAAAAATTCTTACCACCTACTGACATCACAGCTATCATAAAACTTCATAGCACACTTGTAGTATGATGCATTAAATTACTAATGTGTTTGTGGTGACGCTGGCGAAAACAAGCCTGCTACACTGCCAGTCATAAACAAGTACAGCATATACAATTATGTACAGTACATAATACTTGATAATGATCTTAAATGACTAAGTTACTGGTTTATATATTTACCATACATTTTTATCATTATTTAGAATGTACTATTTATACTTGTATAAAAAAATGTTTAACAGTTCGTACTATAGATCAGTGGTGGAGCGCTCCCTGTGTTTAATGCCCAGCACCAAAAAAGTTTACTGTGAACAGTACACAGTATTACACTGGCAGTCCCTCATACACCTCCATACATTTCATGCTTCTGCATCTCTTAATTGCATCATTTTCTCTTGTGCTTGATTTAATCTGTATTGCCTTGTTTATCATGGCCCTAGGACAAACAGGGTAATATCATATGGTGTACACACACACATCCATATACAGGTGTATAGATTTCTGCAAGTACACATGACAGAATTGCCTAAAGATGTACTTCTTAGAACGTTTCTGTTGCAAAGCGACACATGGTTAATTATCCATGGAGCCACCACTTTAAATTCTCCAACTGCCAGATGATCATTTCCAATTAGGTATTTTGCTGTCCCTTCAAAAACTGATGTTTAAAATTGCACTTATATTTTTCTAAATAACAGGTATCTTTCCTGACTTACTCATTTCTGATGAATTCTCCTGGTCTACCCAGGCATGTAGACATAAAAGCTTAGAGTCATCATTTGCTCCCACCCTTTCCCTCATCATCCAGTCTCCAAATTAAATTCTGTCTGCTGCCAATGTCTCAGCCCAAACCATCCTGCACGTGGCCACTTTCAAAAGTTGAAGATTTTTTTGTCAGTGTTTCTCTACCATGCTAAAGTGTACTGATCATTTGTTAAGTGCTGCACAGCACTGTGCACAAAGTACATGGCTAACATCATACACCCTGTAAACTAGAAATGTCTATCTCTACTTTGCAGATATTGACAAACCAGGACAACCAGGCAAAGTAACTCTAAAATCACAATACGAACCCTTTAATTCAACAACTATTTCCTCTACCCAAATTTCTATTCCAGTCAAACTAATGTATTCATCATGAATTCCCTTCTGGCAAGAAATCACCAGGATGACTTCCTGATCATGCTTGGGCAGTTCTAAGCCTATTGAGCAGTGTGAAGCCTAGTAACCAATCAAGGCACACTTCCTCAGAATTTCTACCCAGTCACTGGAATATTCAATCAGTGGTAACCTTACACACACTTGTCCTAGACAATTCTCATTTATGTTTATTGCATCACTATTGTTATCAACACATTCTGCTTTTACCAGCTGATACCTCAATTTAGGCAATAAATTATAAGATCAGCCTACAATATGACACCAGTTTTGAAGCAAGATAGTTTATGTATCTTAACTCTCTAATGATCCTTGAGGGTAGAAAAATCAATCTTAAAAATTTCATTCCCATAGAACCAAGCATGATTTATTATATGTGTGGCTAATGAAAGATTCTGGAGACAAGATGCTTTGTTGTACTTTCTCAATTAAATCCTCCTTTTAGATCAAAACAAGGAAGAATGTATTTTAAATTAATTTATACATTTAGCCCAGTCACAGTGCCTGAAAAAGTACGTGTTTAGTATAACGATGAATGAATAATGTACAAGAGTATGCCAGATAGGTTACAGTCAACATTCCTATAATATTTCAGCAATGTAACAGGTACTTTATATATAACAAGGAAGTGGATCTACCAACAATTACCAAGAAAAAAAGTTTTCTAATATTTTTACTGTTGTGTAGTTAGGTGATAATATTTTCCACACTCAACCATCATAGAATACAAGCTCAGAAACAGACCACAGTGATAATAAACTTACCCTGAAGAGGGAAAAAGAAAAATTTTCCTATTCTTGACAATGTGTTTGTCAGTTAACTTATTGCTGAAAAGTGATAGCAAGCTCTCCTGTTCAAGAAGACACTCTGTCTGCTTATGAAGAAAAGGATTGTTTTATGCTGCTTGTCCTTTGCAGTCCTATTCAGTTTGCACAGACAATTTGCATCAACCTGTGACTAGTGATACTGTCACTGAGTGGTGCCCCAGATAGCCATGACCTCATGTGCTCTTAATATTGAGGCTTCCATTTATAAATGAGTATCTCTGGAATACTTATGAATTCTGACTTGAATACAATGGTGTTTTATTAATTATTATTAATTAAAATTTAAAACTCTAACAATTTATCGACTTACTTAAAATTGGTATAACAAATTATTCAGCAGGAAAGCCTTGCATAACAAGCAGAGAAAGAGACAAGTGAAAGTGATGAATGCACCAATATCACTATGTAATACTGAATACAATTAACGGTAAAATATAGCATAAAATTCTGCATCAATGCATACTTTCTAAGCTAACAATGGTAATTAGTGTAATCATTAGTGCTAGTCACTGCGGTGAAAACTTCAGAATATTACATTTTTTTAAGCCTGAATGCCTATAAACTATAGTTGCTACTAAATAGAAATCCAGTAATAAAAACACTTATTATGATACAAAAAGCAAAATAAATAGCAGCAGATGGCTTCAAAGAAGGGAAATAAAGAAGAGAACCATAGATATGGGTCCATTAGAATATCTTCTCTACTTTTACAAGATCTTGAAACTTTCTATAATGAAAACTAAAGAGAAAGAGTGAAGAGACAGAGTTCCCAAATGAGAGGGAAAAGGATCTTTGACTAGAGGACCATGGGTGAAGTATGGACTACCTCTTGACCCCATAACTTGCAGACAACTGAGGCCAACCATCATTCTGGATAACCGGGCCACTTTGTGTGTGAACAGGATGTGAAAGAAGCAACTTGCCCTCTAGCCAAGGTGGAAATGACCAGGTCAGCTGGAAATTTCCCAAGAGTAACAGCAATAACACATTGAGGCTGTGATTACACTATATGAGCCTCAAGTTAGGGACAATATCTCCTGCTGCCTTGGATTCAGAGTAATCAAATCTCTCTAAAAATGGTGTGTAATTTCTTATGAATTATACTGGCATTACTTGAAATTGCGCTTCTTATAAGTA